AATATATATATATTTGGAACAAGTTAAACGTATGTACAATAAAGTGTTGACACTATAGAGATCATAGGGATATCGTAAATACTATATGGTTCTCTTATTTTTGTCAAGAAGTTCACTTAGGCCTATTCAATTGCTTTAGTATTTCAGTTGACAAACCGAACTATCTTGTCTATTACTATCGCACTAGTATTCTGTGTGTGATTCACTTACAACTGTGGCCGAGTTACGGTAATCATTTGGTCCTCTTTCTTCTAAATATCCTCTGTTCCTTTTGTCAAAGTACACTCAGACTGATTCAATTACTTTAGAACTACGCTTTGACGGAATAAATTATTCTTCGTATCTTCTTTTTTACTGTTAGTCTTACTCTAACATATTAAACTTTAGGCTTATGTTGCTTGTTAGGGCTATCACTTTTGTGGTAGTCATCAGCACGCCGAACTTTTCCTTGCCTGTAACTTTACTCTCTTTTGCTATTGTCTGTCTGCTGTTTCCGCTCGTCTCACACTATTCTCGACGTCAATATATTGCACGCGACGTTGGACAGTCTCAACATCAATGAATTATAAACACAACTTCCAACAATCGTCTGCTTTGAACTTTTATTATAATACAAACTAAACAATAGTAAAATATTCACTCACAAAATAAATTAATCAATAATATCAAAACTAAACAGTCTATTATATCAGGATACTGATGAATGGACAGATAAATCTATTATATAAAGTAAAGTGTGTGTCTGGGAAAAAATACACGGTCGTATGTCTATCATTTCACGTCTGTTTCTTATAAGTTTCCACATTTCTTGATCAATCAGCACCAAACTTGACTCAGTGATACAAGATGACATGAGGAAGATGATGAAGGGGTTGGGGGTTGAACCCCATATTCTAAAAAATAATCGTCAATATGTGTGTGTGTATGTGTTCCTTATAGGTTTCCATATTTCTTGATCAATCAGCACCAAACTTGAAACAGTGATACAAGATGACATGAGGAAGGTCATAAGGGAGGTTAGCCCCATCTAATTTCATATTGATATAATTCTTGAAAACAGTATGCCTTTCTTTTCAAAATTGACACCTTTATGTATTTTTATTTGACTTTTAATGTTTACTATGTTAAAAAGAAAAATAGAAGCACAATTTCCTATTCTTTGTTGCAAATGAGTTTTTATTTCACCAGTCCAACAGACTAGTACTCCAACTAGTTCTTAATATAATTTAAATGTACATTGATTCAATGTTGTTATTAAGCTTAAATAATAATAAAAAACTATAATGACGGGGTTAGCGGGTTATATCATTTGAAACGTTTTCATTCAGTTTGGATAAAACAAAAAAAATGATAACGACAGGTTATTGGGTTATACAATCTGATACGTTTTATTTTAAGTTTAACTAAAATATTTTTGACGAAACTTGTTCTTTTCTACGTCATTAAATTCTATGTGATACATAAAAACAAGAGACGTTATTATATTTCGCCGAAAGTAATTTATTATTACAGACCCAGTTTATACTCATAACACTAAATGTAAGTATAAAAATTAACACAAGATTTTCAGTTGAAACGGGTGGTGCTATTGTTTTTAATAGGCATCATTCTTTTTCAGCATTAATGTCACATATAGTCTTTTAAGAGCGTTTCAAGCTGTTCAGAATTTATTACTTTATAAGACTCCAAGAATACACCTAATGTGAATGAGTGATTATCTTATAAAACACCTAATGTGAATGGGATTATTATCTTATAAAACACCTAATGTGAATGGATTATTATCTTCAATAGAAATGGTCATGCTATGATAAGTTTTCGGCTTTGCCGGTTTGAAGCACCAGTAACCTCTGAACTCTGCCTTGAGCTAGGCCATCATATGCTCATGGCGCATGTCTATAAGTCAATTGATAAGGAATATCTAGAACAAGTGATAGCTCCACGTGATCTTCAGGCCTATTGGATACAACAAAGTACTGAAGATGTTACAGCTGCTCTGACATCATTACGCAATGTTTACAGTCCAAATGTCAAGGTATTGATATCATTTTAACACAAAATCTCTTATTGTTAAAACTCTTTTTCCATTTGTTTAATATATGTACCTATTATTATGTAATATATATTTCATATTAAATTTTTCTTGTAGCGTAAAACATGTTATATACAGTTATGAAACTAAAATTCACTAGTGTCCAATACGCTAATGCCCTCTTTCGGGAACTTTGTGCATTACATTTTTTAGAGAAGAACATCATGGCAATAATGAAGAATAGAGGGGTCCAGACTTTATCAGTCACTATTCTTTTACAAAATTTATATTTTTCTTTGTTTTCAAATTTAGCTAATAACCCTCCATAGTCACAACAATTATATATTTTATAAATAATTGTATTTCCGCGTTAGGTAATAAAAATAGAGTGTGAAACTTGAATGGTTCTTTCAAGTCAAACATAGTCAAGATTATTTAATTATCAGACCTTGTAGAGTTTAATACCCGATAAACGATGTTTTTATGTCTAGATGTGCTCCATGTGTTGTTGTTTCTAAACGTTGCGTTGACTTTTATTCTTTTTTTATGAAAAGTCAGTTTGATGGTTTGTTTATTTATGTCCATGCCATGACAGTAAAAATGTTAACTTAAATAACATTTTTCATATTCCAGGTTAGTCGATTATTGCTCTTGGCTGGAGCAAGTCCACATGGCAAAACGGACCAAATGGGAAATGGCCCACTTCTTGTGGTTGCCGCATATGAAGGGATAGTGGAAATGGTAGCAATGCTACTGGAGTTTGGAGCCAATCCTTCAGTCGTTAATGACTTTGGACAAAGTTCACTTTGTTTAGCCAGTCAGAGGGGTCATCTTGAAATCATTCGACTATTACTTACCAGAGGTGCTAAAGTAAGTGATTTAGAACATAATTCACCACGGTCTAGTACAAAACCTTTCTTTCTACTTCATGGTTATATTTAGAAGGATTGTTTGTTCTTTAAGAAAAATCTATGTTGCCCAATTATTGGAAACTATATCATAAACAACTTAACTTTTTTATTGTAATTTCACAGCTGAATCAAACTGACAAAGATGGTAAGTGTTCACTGGTTTATGCAGCTTCTCACGGGCATCTAAGAGTGGTCTGTTACCTGGTTCAGTGTCAATGGCCAGTGGACAATGAAGGTGGCCCTGGACTAGTACAAGCAGCTCAGCAATCTCTTGTTGCAGCAGCTTACTATGGTCATACAGTGGTAAGTTATTAACTATGTCATAATTAAATTTTTAGTGTTAGATTTTGATTTGCTGGCTGGTTAGTAACGTACCTTTATCTCACTGTTTCTTAATAGCACATTAAGAAAGAAACGACTAACAGTTTATTAAATAAAAATTAAAGACTTACTTTCTTCTTTAAACTCTCATGTTTTGATTAATAAAGTTCCTAAAACGTGTATATTTTTGTTGCTCTATAGAGTTTGCTAATAATGTTACGAACCTTGGAAGCTCAATACTTTAATATAGTATAAGATGATGAGCTGTTCAGTTTCTGTGTTCCATAATTTCGCTCAAAGCTACATTAGCACTATATGTGCATAGTCTTCCCTAATTTCGAACTGTCAGAAGAGGAGATAGCCGGATCAGCACACATTCTTGGGCTAATCTTGTCTGTTCGGACAAAGGGATTCGATTGTCATTGATATAGCACACACATGGCCTTAAAATAGAGTACGTTGATTCTGCAACAACGGGTCGTGAACTATGACTGGGCTACTACCGGCCCGAAGTAGTAAAGTCTTTGCAAATAAGACAATAAAGATTATAAGCATTGAATAGCAGGCACTGCAAGGATTTGTATTACTAATTCAAATGAATAACTAAACGGCGTGTGCATGAAAATAGCATTAATAATCTATGGAAACACATTAACCTGCAAATAGACGGAGAATGAGATACAAGGTTAGTTGTTTAAATCGAGGATTTGACCAATAGATGGGTGAACAGGTGGCTATGGTAACATATATGGATGGACAGGTAGATACGGTAACATATGTGGAAGAACAGGTAGATACGGTAACATATATGGATGGACAGATGGATATGGTAACACATGTGGATGGACAGGTGGATATGGTAACACATGTGGATGGACTGGTGGATATGGTAACACATGTGGATGGACAGGTGGATATGGTAACACATGTGGATGGACAGGTGGATATGGTAACACATGTGGATGGACTGGTGGATACGGTAACATATATGGATGGACAGGTGGACATGGTAATATATGTGGAAGAACAGGTGGATGTGGTAACATATATGAATGGACAGGTGGATATGGTAACATATGTGGAAGAACAGGTGGATATGGTAACACATGCGGATGGACAGGTGGATATTGTAACACATGTGGATGGACAGGTGGATATGGTAACACATGTAGAAGGACAGGTAGATGTGGTAACATATGTGGATGCACAGGTGGATATGGTTATAAGGTGACAATCAAATCCCATTATACTGTTAGGCAGGAGTAGCCCAAGAGTTAGCGGTAGGTGCTGTTGACTAGCCGCATTTTCTGTAGTTATCAGTTCGAAATTAGGGACGACTTGTGGAAATAGCCCTAGAGTAGTTTTGGGCGAACATGTGAAAACAAATAAACAATTTCGCTGTAATAAATACTTAACTTCAGAAAACGTATTTTATCTTTTTACCTATAATTCTTCTCGTGGCAATACTGCACTCTCGCTAAACATCGCCACCGCTCATATCTGAGGCGACGCACTATTGTATTACTATGCAGAAAATATTCATATAAAGTGCTACTAATCCTCTGCACTGGTGGTTAGTAAAACGAACTGTTCAGTAGATTACCAACAAATCAACAGAAAAACAACAATGAAAAGCTGTTCAATAGACGAAAACACAGATTAAAGAATGTTAGTCAACTAAGTAAACTAAAAGACATGACTAAATAGTAAACATGAACAATATGTATGGTTAGGACAACCGACACAGGGAAAAAAAGAGCAAGCAACCTATGAGTGCTTGAAATGAAAGATAAGTGAATTGGCCTCAGTGTTCATTAACAGATCCACTGAGTTATAAACGAAAGACTGTACCATACACAAAGGACAAGTAATTGACTGGACTTAAGAATGACTCGATGGTCAGCTGGTAAAACACATATATTAATTATCCTAAAAATATTTAATTATTAGAGGAACATATATTGGAATCGTGAAAAACAAGCATGATAAATGTGATATGGGTTTTAAATGGGTATTTGTTGCATCTATAAGTTGATAGATACAGAGCACAGTAGAAAACCTTTTATTTTGACTAAGAGTCGCCCCCCAGTGGCACAGCGGTATGTCTGCGGACTTACAACGCTAGAAATTGGGTTTCGATACCCGTGATGGGCAGAGCACAGATAGCCCATTATATAGCTTTGTGTTTAACTTCAAAACAAACAAACAAACTAAGAGTCAGGACAATTTAATTAGAGTGCAACGTATAGATTCGTAATTTTAAACTTTTTTTCTGAAGACCAATTATCAGCCGATACTAGAGATTTTTCACTATTTTCTAGGCTTTAAACATTTAATGCCTTAATATATCATTCGAACATGTTATTATTTTGATGGAATATTAATTTTTAGTATGCCTGCGTTAATGGTTTAAGTTGGCCAATTCCCAGGTTTTTAACAAAACAAGTATAATGTTACTTTATTGTAAAGCATGAACTTTATTATTTTATTCTTATCTCACGCAAAGGACATCATTTGTTTCTTGTCCACAGGTTTGTGAATATCTCTTAGACTTGCCAGAAGTAAAAATCAACATGCCAGATGATGGCATGGGTTACACAGCATTAACAGCTGCATGTGTAGGCGGACATAAGGAAGTGTGCAACCTACTATTCAGACGAGGTGCAATTGTTTCAATTTCCAACCGACAGGGAGAGCCACCGCTAGCATGTGCCGTTGTTGAAGGCCACTGGGAAATAGCCGAACTCCTATTAAGCCACAAAGCGGACCTAGAACAAGCTGATAGTAATGGCAGGACTGCTCTCATGTTGGCTGCAAGAGAAGGTCATCTAGGCCTTCTAGAACTCTTATTAGCTAAAGGTACAATGAAAAAATTGTATTCGCTAATTAGCAGAGTTTTTATTCTGGATAACTGTCATTACAATCTTTATTATATTATTTAAGTCTTAACGATAGTATTATTAGCAGAGTTTTTACTCTGTGTGACTGTCACTACTATCTTAATTACATTATTTAAGTCTTAACGATCGTATTATTAGCAGAGTTTTTACTCTGGGTGACTGTCACTACCATCATAATCACATTATTTAAGTCTCATTATCAAAGTATCTTACGATTTTAATATATACACAAAGCATTACCTCTTGGGAGGAAAGTTAGTAGTATTATGTTTAACATTTTTCAAGAATTAATTTCCTTTTTTTTTCTTTTGTGACATGTAAACATACAGGCAAACTGGCAGAACGTTCTATAATCGACATTTTAATCAACCTAAAACAAAATTAATGCACTAGCAACTTTTATTACCCGTATTATATACACAGTTGTTCATAACTACGTGCCCAAAATCATGCGAAATGGACATTATGACAGAATTGATTAATTGTTGTTAACAATATGGCATATTCAAACCTTTCTTTCACTATCTACTCCTACTCTCCTATCCAACACATTACGTGTTTTGTCTGTTAGTGATCTCACTGAACATAAAAGCTAACACACGACAAAGGAAACATATTATTTACACTAAATATTAGTAGAAACTATCATAAAATTCCTGCACTCTGCTGGTGAGTCCAAAGACCTCATCATGATCACACTTCTCCATTATCTCCATTTACTTCTATTGCTATCCCAAGCGGGTCTGTATCCAACAAAAAACTCGTTAGGACACCCACCCGTGGTACCTGTGTATATGTACTAAATGTGATCCTGATACCTTGTTAGTGGAGATACAAAAACAGTTTCAAATATGGTGCCCTAATTAAGGGAGGGCCAAGAACACAAATTCTGATGCATGGTTCCAGTTAAACGACCTTGAAAATATACTCTTATACCTTCACCATGCCTGGGTGACTTTTTGGGTGCATTTTTTGATGAAGTCATACCACGAATCCACATGTTTGGTCCTGCTAGTTCTAAATCTGTGGTATGAGTTAGTGGACAAAAGAAACACAAAACGTTAATTAGTATGGGATTTAACAGCTCCTGTTGTTAAAATAAACAATCATTTGTATCAAGTTTAAATCTGACTAATATGTCGAATTGTAAACTTAATATGAAATTTCTTTTTATTATTAGGTGCTCAACCCGAGAACAAAGATAAAGATAATTTAACGGCCCTATCATGGGCATGTTACAAAGGACAGTTACAGGCAACCCAGTGTCTTCTGAACTATGGAGCTGATATCAACCATGCTGACACAAATGGACGAACCCCTTTAGATCTGGCTGCTTCAAATGGCAACCCAAATATTGTAAGTTGTCAGAATGGCTATAAGTATATTGTAAATAAGAACTTATTTCTTTATATATATATAAGTATGTATGTACTCGCACAAAGCCACACAAGGGTTATCTGTGCTAACCATCCATAATTTTGAACTCATAGAATAGAGGGAAAGCAGCTGTCGACATCATCCACCGCCAACTCTTTGGCTACTTCTAATCCTTAAGCAGGATTTGGCAATCATTCTTATAATGTACTCACGCCCGAAAAGTGGGGAGCGAGTTTTTGTAAGAACGGGATGCAAGCCATGTATCCTTAATTTCACAATCCAACACAGCGTAATAACCACAGGCCATGCTCGAGCCAAATCTGAACATGAAAAAAAATTTTAATATATGTTATATAATATCATAATAAGCTCTAGTACACTTTTTGTGATAAGAAAAATTTTTAAACAAAAAAGCATTTGGAAGAGTAATGTTTTGTTCCTTTATTATATGGGTCCAAGAATATATGGTGTTTATCCTGTTGCCGTAAAAGCACGACTCGCTTTTTGGAGAGCATGGACATGCTATAAGGTTGATGATTAAAACCCAATTGTTCGATTAGAATAGCCCAGAAATAAGCTGTGGATGCTGTTAACTCCCTCTAATCTATCAGTTGAACATTAGGGACAGCTTTGTGTGAGTATTCCACACGACAAACAAAGAAACAAACGATATCATATAAGTAACCTACAAGGACTAGCTATTGAAATATTTCATGAAGTTAATTAGTTTACATTTATTTCATACAAGGCTGCTAGCACACTTTATGAAATGTTTTGATCAGTCATACGGAAATACATTATTCTTAGTTCAAAACTATTTCCTAACTGCTACATAGAATAGGCTGCACTGAATGAGAATGAGAATAAGAAAAACCATAGTATAATTGAATTCTGAGAATTAAAACGTCACTATTGACGTTGTAGTTTTCACACATAGTTCTTTGTCATAAGTTAACCCACAAAAGTCATCAGATTAACCCTAAGATAAAAAAAAAGATTCAAAGTTTTAAAATTTCATCTCAAAATATTTCAGAGACTTAGAAAAAAAGAATTAATATATGGGCGTCTTTAACTATCTTTATGTGTTCCCCCCTAGAGTATATTATATGAATTTCTTAGATAATGTCTTATTTACAATTAACTTCATAACTAAAAGCTTCATTATTATCAACTATTTGCATTTCAGCTTCATCGGAATATTTTTTACTTCTGGTTAAGCTCAACAAAAAAACTAACATTTTATTTCTAAAGTTATACGTGTTTAAAGTTTGATTGAAGAAAATAATTGTTTCTTTTTATTTTATACATTTAAATACTGATATAATCTTCTGAAAACATTCACTGTTATTCACTTCTTTCAGATTAAGTTACTAATGGACCAGGGTGCAGTTGTAGAACATGTAGACTTGACTGGTATGAGACCTTTAGACAGAGCCATTGGTTGTCAAAACTTGGCTGCAGTTCACTGTTTTCTTCAGAGAGGAGCGAAAATTGGTAAAATAATAAAATTCATTAGATATAACAAGATATTAAAAGCCAAAAAAACGATATCTTCCTTTGGGGAATTTTCTATTAGACCAACATACGAAATTCCAAGTGATAGAGAGAGAAAGAAATAAGTATTCTTGATAAATTTTAGTAGTGCTTCATATATCAATGAAGAAATTAATTGTAGGTGTGGGATTTCAGAATTATTAAATTAGTTTTTTCTATCTTCCTTTTTAATGTTCTATTACTCATTTCTTTAGGTCCTCAGACGTGGGCTATGACTGAAGGCAAGCCAAACATGCTGTTAGTGTTGCTAAAGAAACTTCTTGAAGATGGCACAACTCTTTATAAGGTTAGAGATATTTTCCCTCCAGTTTGAACTCACTGTCCTGATGTAAATATATTAATGAGTGAAGAAATTCAAATCAATGTGCCTTGTTTATTACATCTTAAACTTGCTATTGGAGAAGTTCTTGTTCAAGTTTTAGCCTAAAGCTACATAATAGGTTACCTGCACTCTGCCCATTTCGGAATCAAACCCTACATTTTAGTGTTGTAAGTCCATTAATTTACCATTGACCCACTGGGTGGACGTCATTACAGAAAGCAATTAACACACTCTTACAGTTTTAGTGTGTATAAATAAAAACACGAATACGTATATATATATATATATATATAAAGATGTGTATATACATACCATCATGTTTGCATAACAAACCAGAGGTATTTTCTGACTGTTGTTTAACACTATTTAAGGATTCCAATAACGAGAAAAATAAATCATTATTTGAGATTACATAGAGTGTGTCCAAAACATTGTTCAAAAATTACACTTACAAACATAATTACTATCTTATACACAATAAAACAGAGGAGTAAGATCTATCCAAATACTGTGTGGTTAGATTGCTTAGAAAAGTATATTGGTCCTGAGCTACCACTTAAGATATTTTTATTCTAATTTTTATGCAGAAAGCACGTGTGGTAGGCTATTTCTTCATTGTTGAACCTCTGGCTGAAGCTTGACCAGTCTTGTTTAAATAAAATTCTCCTCATTCCAATCAAAGTACAAATTGCAAACAACAGCAACAAAAAAAAACATACTTTTATTTCTTTCAGTTATTGATATGATTTACTGTCACATTTGTAAAAACCAACAACAATACAGGATCAAGTAAATGCACAATAACGTTCCAAATTTGTATCAGAATATTTCAGGACTGTTTTCAATAGCTGAATTTGTATAACGCGGGTGTTTCATGGTTCTTTTAACTACTCTGTTCTGTAGAAAGGTCGCTTGAAGGAAGCTGCCCATCGCTATCAGTATGCCTTGAAAAAATGTCCCGATGAAAACACCATGAAAGATTATATACAGACTTTCCTGCAAATCAAATTCCATTTGTATATGCTCCTCTCCAAGTGTAAACGAAAAATGAATGTAAGTGTTGAATCACTTTGCAACTTTTAAAGTCTTTATTTTTCAATCTTGTTACATTTTACTCACTTTTAAGCTAATTTTATTTTTAACAAAAGTACTTTATACATAAAAAACCTAAATTATTTGTAGTTTGAACTGATTACATGAATATTAATGTCATATAGTATTTAGATTTTTGTCAGGAAAACTCAACTAGAATTACTCTAAAATATTTAAGTGAAGAATGTCACAGGGCACATGTTTATAGCTTGTAAATGACTTTTCATCATCTCGCTCATATTTTGACAGGTAGTATCTTATATGTTGTTTTTCTACAAATATTTTGGGCAGTTATTCTGCAAGTATTTTGACCAGCCTGTATTCAACTGCATGACTGTTTTACTTCTTTCAAAAGAAAATTCTTCTCAGAAAATTATAGTATTAGTTTAGATGATTTTAAGATAATTTGAGCCTTCATTTTGTCCAGGATGGAAAAGTACTATAACTGCAAATGATATGTGTAAAATGTTTTACTATAAAACACGTTAAAAGATCCCGATTATACTTCATTCATATAACATGTTTTAGTTTGTTTTTCTCTTTTCTCCTTAGATGATCAAAAATTTCAGTGAGACACTTTCTCGAGACTTTTCAAATAGTCTGCAGCAAAAACTATGCATTTACTTTATATACCTTTATATTGATTATCTTAAGTAATTCGTAGTATTTTAGTTGTCGAAATCTCCAGTTATTGGTAAGTAGTTGTAAGGGATTTCACGAATTTATGAACTGCATACTTTCTCAGAGGAAATATATATATATATATATCTCAATAAGCAAGTATGATTAAAGAGTGTAACACTAACTTTACTTTCCGTATCTAGAAAAGATGAACCATGAAACCATTTTTGGGTTTTTCAGGAGTTTGATGCAGCCATAGAAGCAGCAGACAAAGCTATTATTTTGAAACCCAAGTCAACAGATGTTTATTACATAAGAGCACGTGCCAAGCATGAGTCAGGGTAAGTTTCCAAAATGTTATTTTTGGAGCACTTTAGTAAAAACGTTAGTTATTTCTGATCTCAATATTTACAGCTGTAAAATAAAATGCAGACAAAACACGGACACTTTCAATCATTGATTGTTGATCTTCAACAGAGGTTATTAGAATAACCATTTTCCTAGGAGTAGCTTTTGCAAATAATTTTCTTTGACCAAATGTTAGTAATATAATATGCATTTTAGCATCTCGTCCATAAGCTTAACATTTCCAAAAGTGATAATAACTTTAAATTAAGTGGCTTATAACTACGTATCTCATTGATATATTAGTGTTCTAAACACAGTGTTTTTCTCTGCAGAGAGCTTTCTTTTGAACCTAAAATTATGTGAACTTCATTGTATTCTTAGCATTAAGAGATGGAAAATCATTGATGATAGAATAAATAGACAATAGTGCATTATCAATCCTTTCTTTAATTCTGGTTTGATAATGATTCATATAATATTCGTAACAATTACACTTCACCAGCTTAATTTAGTTCACTCCATAACATTAGTTGCTGTTCACACAATTTTATAATATAAAATTTTAACCATTACTGTGTTTGCACTATACCAACTACCCTGATGAGGCCTGGTATTGGATGACACCTCATTGGCACTGGACATATATGTTATGTTGTGTAGTTGACATATCATTATCCATTTTTCTTTACTGTCAGTCTTGGGTTTTTTAAATTTCTAATTTTTTCTTCACCTGTTAATACTCTGGTTACTTGACCCACTCTGGGAACAATATGACTAGCTTGCTGATTCACCAGTTTCTCTGATGATGAGTAAAAAAAATAATAATAATTCAAGCGAAAATAAATAATATTGTGTTATTAATCCTTATCCTAAATTCTGATCTGTAAATAATTCATATAAAATTTATAAAACTTGCACTTCATCAACTTGTTCACACTGATAGAGCAAATATAGTTTGTTTAACATATTGGTATACAATCTTCTTTACATTCACTCATTACTTCTGAGAATTAACTTTAATATATAAATGAGTTTGGAAGTGCTTAAATGTCAGTGTAGAAAACAAGAAAACGAGTTTATCTTACTTTACCTAAATCGCTAAAGAAATAAAAAGTTAGGATTTTTCTCATTTAACAATGTAAATAAAACTTTAAGTGAAGCAATTCGAAAGCCATTTGCAGAACATCTTATGTGATATTTTAAGTTCAGTTAAATAAGTTCAATAAAGATGAAAGAATAAACAACACTAGGTTAATTAATATTGTTCCCTAAAGTATTTATAAAAACTGAATATTTGTTTGTTTGTGTTAGAGCAAAGCCACATTGGGCTATTTGCTGTGTCCACAACAACAAATTGAATCCCGTAATGATGAAGTCCGTAATCTTATCGCTGTATCACCAGGGGGACAAAATCTGAACATAAAAAATGTAGAACACCAAAATTATTGATATTATTTCTAAACCACCAAACTTCAGTTATTGCAACAGCTAATATAATTCTTGTTATTTTAAGGATCCACCACTTTCTTAACCTTAGATGGCAACCATAAAAAAAGATCCCCAAATATGAGCATATAATATTTTTTGGTTTATTTGTGGTTAAGCACAAAGCTACATAATGGGCTATCTGTGCTGTGCTCACCTTCGATATTGAAACCCGATATTTAGAGCTATAAATCTTCAAACTTACAGATGAGCCACCAGAGGCCCTTTTTTTAGTTTTATGAAAGGTATTTAACGGAAACCTTTTGCTACAATAGTTTTTGAATTTAAAATGATCCATAATTATCAAGAAGAGTAAGATGATTGTTTCAAATAAAAACAGGTTTATCTTTAAAACTGTATTTATGATCTGACGATAATAAGTGTAATTATACAATTTCGCTTATTTTGTTCCAAACTAATTCAAACAAAGAAATTAAGAATCGGAAAACAATAACAAAATTTTCTTAGTAAACCAATAATTGGACTAAGATGATAACAAGCCCTCCTCTCCATCCCCAAACCGAAAACATTAATATACACCCGTACGCTATTGAAATTATTCGAGAATTTTGAAAATTAAATGAACTGATATTATCAGTCTTAACCTTATGAAATTTTTGTCATATGCTTTTAAATGTATCAGTTCATATTTGACTTCCATTTCATTAATACAAGGTGTGTAGAAACAAAAATATTGTTCCGATTTATATAAAATAAAATATGGTCACAAAAACCAAATATCAAAGATATGTCCATTCTCGTCTCTACAGATTCGTTATTACTGTAGTAGGTAATAATGTTTAGGGATTAAAATGCAATATTTAGATGAACATGAAATTCATTTGTAAAGATCTTCATTTTAATACTCCAACTTACTACTGAGTTTATTCAAATGTCACAACCTTTTGTTCTCACACAAAAAACAACTCAATCCTTCATTATTGTTTCAATCAAAACAGTAGTTGAATTAGGAAAACTTAAATGTTTAATGCTCAAGTTTTTATAGCTAACAGTTTGTTGTTTATACAGTAAAAAAAAGTGTCAATTTCTTGTTTCTTACATGAGTGTTCAATTAGTCAGAGTAACTGTAATTTAATTATTTCTTGTGACGGGCTGCGTATTGGAGGTTTCATGGTTCACGTCCCTTTGTCGTAAAATTACAATTTCCCATTTTGGATTGTGGGTACATTGTAAGAGTGTAGCTCAAATTACGCTATTCGATTAGCGTATCCCAACAGTTGGCGGTGGGTGTTGTTGATAACTACCTTCTCTCTATTCTAGCATTTCAGAAACAAACAGTTATTTCGTATTATTTAAGTTATATTATTTAGAATAAATGTTAATGTTGCATGTATTCTGGTACCCGAGTACTTTTCGTGGATTAAAGTGTAAACTAATAACTGAAACAAAAGTTGCATGAATTGAAATAGTAGTTGTCACTTTACTCAGTTATATCCTATTACTATTCCAGACAACGTGAGTCAGCCCTTCAAGATATTACTGAGGCCCTTAGTCTTGTATCTGTCAATCAAGAAGCCAGGAAAATTTTACTCAAATTAAAAGAGGAAATCAATAGTGGCCACAAGAGAACGATACAGTCAATCTCTCAAGAAAGTGAGATGATGAATAATACAACTGGAGAAGTATCAGAGGATGCTGAAGGGTAATTTATGTGACTTTTTACAAGTCATTTGAGTAATATAACAGTGACTTAAAATTGCATGTTATCGAAATATGTTTGTTCGAACGCAATCAAATAACAAACACAAAAACATTGCAGTTATAATTTTACTGCAGTACTTTAAATACTTGTTTGTATTGAGGCATATTGCTTAGGAGTTCTGGAATCCTTTATGACTCACCGTATAATAACCTAAATTAATTTAGGTGTGTGAATAATATGATGGCATAGTTCCCAATTTCTTATTCGATATTACACAGCGGACAAACTTAGTAATGATTATACTACAGATTGTTTTTGTTTCCATCAAAGGTAGAATTGAAAATATAATCTGTGACGTAAGCCTCTACTTCACAGATTACATTTCCAATGTTATCTTTGTTGAAAAGAAATGAAATCTTTTAACATAATGATAAAAACATATTGCCATTATTAAGTAGTTCGCGTTTTCCTCCAAAACGTGGTATAATTTCAGTATTTTATAGTGCCAGCCCATTATATAAATAAATGAAATTGCATTATGAAAAAAAATAACATTGGATTTTTTTTCTTCACTAATAGCAACCTGGGTAGGATGAAACCTTCCAGTTTTTCTACGGACACTGTTGACCAACTCTACGGTTTAATAACGGAATCAAGAAGTGATCCTCAATAGGAACTCAAAGCTTTGGTAGATCAGAAGTGACAAGATGTTAAAAATTAAGGACTCGTTTTTATCACCACAAGTAATGATGAGCCTAAAGTCAAACAGTGTACCTTTAAACGTATCATTTTATCTATATATATATGTGTGTGTGTGTGTATAAAGCTCGTTGTCAACTTGTATAATTGCAAAATCTGAGGTATAAGCGATTCGTCTTCTTCTTTGTCAAATTGAATGACTAGTCTAATGTAATACCGCAAAAAAAACAACAACAAAAAAAGTTTTAATTGCTGGACTTGTTACATAAGGTAACAATGTTTGACGCCGGGAGATAACGTGTAAGGCTGTAAGATGTATCTTACAATAGTCGAACGAACCATGTGGTACATTGCCATCGCACTGTGGCAAAGTGTGATATATATAAAGCTACTGTGTAAAGTTGTGTGTCTTGTATTGGTGAAATTGACCACATACTGCAGTGTCATCACACAGTGACAATGTCTGATATCTGATGGATATTGCGTAGTATTTTAAGATGTGTCTTGTGTTGGTGAAAGTGACCACGAAATACAGTGTCATCACAGAGTGACAATGTCTGATATCTGATTGATACTATGTAGTGTTAGAAGATGTGTTGGTGAAAATGACCACGTAATACAATACCATCATAGGCGTAGCAGTATCTAATATCTGAAAATACTGTGTAGTGCTGTAAGATTTGTCGTACAACAGTAAAACGAACCACGTGGCACGATACAGTTTACAATCATGGAGGATAAAATTTGTTATTCAGACGATATCGTGCTGAGAACACCGTCATTTAGCAAGTGCTGTATGCGATGACTTATAATTACCGCTACAAAAAAACATGTTGTTTTTAATGCTGCAGTGGAAAGAATAATAAAATATACAACACAATGATCAAGTAGCGTAAAGTGCTGTGTTGGCTCTAAGCTAAATCACTGTTCTGTGTTAATAAGTGGCTTTTTCTAATATTTCGAAAGTTCAATAGGTAATAACTATTAGTATCAGAAGAGTTTACTGCCACTGTTTAAAAAAAGCGAGAGAACGTCAAGAAAGAATTGCTCATTTTAACAGAATATTAACACCAGGACTATTGTGACGACTACATATTTAACAGGTCGTCAAGACTAGGGATCTGGAATGGTCCTACTCTATTCATTTTGTCTTTAAACATATGTTGTGATGAGCTGAATTTAAACATAAATATTGTAGATGAAAATATCTTTGTAGAGTCTTTAAGACGATTATATGTATAGTCTTTTAGTGCTAGTTCAACTACAGAATTAATCTATTCGATAGCTTTTAAATAGCAGTCTAGAGATGTCAGAAGTGACGCAGACAATTCACTTAATGTTTTCTCTGATTTCAAAACTAAATTCTGAGCTTTTTATGGGTATTAGGACTAACGATATGAGTAAAATAATGAACACAAAAAGGTAGTCTCACTTCTAAAAAAGTTTCAAAAGATAATTTCATTAGTTTGTGAGATGGTAATGGGGACAACACGTGACTTTAGTATGCAGCAGAATAAACAACGTGGATATAAGGCGATTGTGGATTAAAACCTAGATGTGGGTTTTTTTTTATAAAGAAGTTTTCCATATTATGAAAACTGAGAAACCAGAACACTAGACATTTAAGCATCTGAAGTGAAAACAATACGTTATCATATAGGTTTAATTTCTTAATGTTTTGGCTCTCAGATTCCAGGCCTGGAGCTTAAGAAATAATTAATACTTAGGTATTTTCTGCGTATAGTATTTGTAACTATGTGAGTTTTGATGTTTATTGCAAAAGAGCAAAACGTATGGACAGTATATCTTTCTACTAGGAAGTTACTGTAGGTCAAATTTATTGCCTGAGTTAGTAATTTATTCAAGTAATTAAAAATAGTCAAACAATTATACTTAATAAAATCTAAACTGACAATGAAAAAAAATGAAGTTTAAAGTTACGGATGAATTATTTTAATATTTAGTAAATATTCTTTGTTGTGAAATTATGTAAGTTTCTTTTCTGTTCTACATTTTAAAAGGTTAGCAGTAGCATATGAAACACCTGAAGGCCTACTGCAATCTGGTTATTCTTCACAAGAAAATTGTTCGGTTTTCCAAGAGAAAACAATCTATTGACATTGACTCTTAAACATTCGGAAATTTTACAGGAATTTCAGTTACCCATAATTAACCAACTTCATCTGCCTTTATCTTTTTTATTATTAAAACTTTGAAGTCTATCGATATATTATACTAAGACTAAACAACATAGGAATATGTTGATCTATTTAATGAGTTGACTCACTCAATACGGCAGAAATGTAGATATATAAGCTTAATACTGCACTCAAACGCCAAATTGATGAAAACCTGTCTTGTTTTAATTTGTTTAAGCATTGTAACTTTTTATAGATTAGTTTCTTAAAAGTCGCGAAAAACTACTAAGTAGTAACTGCAAAAAAATACATATTGTATTACAAGGAGGAAGAGGAGTATTTACATAATATCTTTGATACGTGAAATGTAAAGCATACACCAGTGAGCTTGAAGTTAAAGGGATTAGTCAAGTAATTTGTCATAAAACTACCATGCATTCGTCTTTTTCTGTGCATATTGTAGCGAGATCTCACCTCATTTGAATATATAATAAATATTTGCCGAATTACATAAAACAATGTAACTGAGATATGATTTTTTTGAAGAAACTAAAGGTACCAATCTAATACCGAATGACAAACCGAATATTAAAATGTTCAATTGTGTTTGTTTTCTTAATTGGCTGAAGTATATATTTCCTAAGTAAATAAAAGCTTATAAAGGTTTTTTAAGCAGATTTTTATTCTATAATGAATACAACTATTTTATGTCTTTGTAAAGAATACTTAATATTTACCATCTCTTACTTTTCATAAGGTGAAGTCAAAGAGACAGTTGCAATCTTCATTGCTAATTGTTTGACAAAATGACAGAAGACTATTTTAAATAAAACGAGACATTTCAGATATTTCTTTGAACCCAGCGAAGTCAAAGAAAGCGTGGTGAGTGAGGGGAGGGGGGGTGAGTGACACTTATAGTGGTGGGAAAAAATATAGCATCGTTCAGTTCTTTCACATATTTCATGTTTTAATTTGGTTGTAACCCCCCTCACCTTGATAACTGCTTGACATCACTGTGACATAGAGTGCACAAGGGATAGAATGTAAGCAGGGGTAAGTTCATGATTCCACACTCGAATTAGAGCTTCCTGCAATTCCAAGGTGCTTCTCGGTTTCTTCTTTTGCACTTTGTTGTCCATTACCTTCCAGCAGTTTCCGATAGGGTTGAGATCTGGGCTGTTGCCTGACCAGGGTAGTGTCTTGATCTTCTCCCTTCAAAGACAGTCCTTCTTCTGCAGCAATGAAATAAAATCTAAGGTGTCTATTTCCATACACGTAAAATGAAACTTCCTTTTTATTTCATGACTACTGCATAGTGTACGAACATTACTAACCATTTTAGCCCTGTGGCATGCAGCAGAGTCATTCTGGAATGTACACTGGTCAACTCCACTGAAATGATCCAGAATTGCTTGTTTTAACCGGAACTCGAGGATTTTGATGTACTCGTCGTCATTGACAGTGTCTTTCACAAAATCCAGGCGCCACCCATGTGGTCTGAGATGCATCCCCATATCACCTGACCCTACGGATGCTTCAAATACACTGGATTCGACGTCGTACAAAGTGCTTCCCATCAGACCCGTACAAGTTGAACTTTGATTCGCCTGAAAATATCACTTTGCTCCACATTGCTTCAGTCAAGTCAGCATATTCTTTGGCCTAGTTGAGCCTCATTTTCCTCATCTTGTTTATGGAGAGTGGTTTATTTCTTGGCCGTCCTGCTGGGAAACCGGCTGAACAAGGGGCGAGACTAGACAGTGCGCGCAATGACAGTAACTCCTGATGTTTCTTGTCATGCTCTTTTGGGATCTTTGAACGATAGTCGACAATTCTGCAAGCACTTGCATTTTAGAACACAATCGTTAGCTACTGCGGAAGCTTTCTTCCTACCCTTCCTTTCCGCCGCTTCACCCAATCAGTCTTTCTATATCTCTGCACCCATCAGCTCACGGTAGACTGGTTAAATTTAGTTTTTCTAGCAATCTACTTTGTCGAAAGTCCCTCTCTGCTCAAACAAACAATGATATTTTTCTTCCCGTTGAGTTAACTCGCAACACTTGGCCATGGCAGCATCACATGCACGTTGTAGCAGATAAGCTTCTAAACTGACTCTCAATAAAAATCTGTATATGTTTAGCCAAAAAATGGTTAATGCAATACTCAGGCAGCCTATAATGGCTACTGATGTAATAATTAGACAGTATTGCATCATCTATGAAACACTTTTGAACCTACAAGCATCAGGACTTCAAACCAAACGATGAGTCTGAATACAATTGGAAAAAAATGGTTGATACAATAAATATATATATTTATTTATGACAATTTAATTTAAATAATTTCACTTCGTAGTGACTCAACACGGGCAGTAAATATTAAACTTGATTATACGATTACTTAGTCCAGGGAAAAAATCAAAATGTGAAACATTTCACTTTGTGTAATTTGTTTAGAATTACTTTTTATTTTGGCTGGTAATACTGTGAACTAATCAAGGTTAAATGTCGCTCCTGAAGAAGTTGACAAAATAAAACATGTTTTTGTAGAGTTAGTAGTCACTTAATCAAATTACGCATGTTCAAAGTACTATACTCTGTTAATAGATTACTTGACTGTAAACTTTACATTTTTTAAAGCTGTTAAGAGGGCTAAATATTCTAATGCTTACACTTATTAGTAATTCGTATGTATAAATAGGTCATATTTAACATGTATATAAAAACGGAAAGTTGAGCAAAAGGTTATCATTTGCGCTTTAGCTCTTTACAATCTTTTGTAAAGTAACGGTTAAATAAAATCGGTGTTCGTTTTTCAGCAATTTTTGTATCTTTTATAAATTATTATTGATTTTCTTAAATATTATATTAGATTTAACAGTAGGGAAATGCTAAGAATAGTTTGGATATTTATTCAATTGTCCCCTAGTAGATCAGCAGTGAGTTTACGTACTTACAACGCTAGAATTTGGGGCTCGATTCCCCGTGGTGAACATAACCTATTATGTGGCTTTGCGATAAAAACAAAACAAAAAGATAAATCAATAAAAATGTGTACAGTGTTTACGTTCTTGATTTTACTATATTTTGAAAGTTTTGACGATAAGTTTTATGATGCTGTATTATATAGTTTTGTTTATAATATTTACGGATGTTGCAGTTCATTTCTGAATTAAACAAATAAAATCTTCAAACCTCACTTTTGACTTATTTAAAAAAAAAATCTTACGTGCTGTTATTTTCTTTGGTGACTGTGTTATACATTCACTCAGTGCTGTTTTACAAAAACAACATGGTTTTACAAATCGACTTATCAATACATTTAATTAATGAAATGTAGTTTCTATCTACAGAATAACCACAAGCATTAAATTACTTGTGTTACTTAGCCTTTCAACACGAGTTTCTTCTAAATGTATTTTATTTTTACACAGAATCTTTATCAATCAAAATATCTTGAATGTTAATCCTTTCGCATACATTTACACATAGCGTTCATTATAATTGTCTACTCATAAAAGTAAGTAAATTACAGTCGCTCTTTTATAAAACGAATTTTTTTTTGAAATAATTAGATCGTAGCTATTGCGCTACAACTAATATTATTGAACGATACAAGCATTAATATCAAAGCTTAAGGATTGAAACACAATTTATTAATTTATTAAATGCTCTTCAAATAAGGACACGATTCCTCAAGCCTGGTGGATAAAAGATTAATTAAGACGTTTTATTTACAATACATGTGAGTAAATCTGTTCATAGGCAATTTACAATAAATAGAACATTTTTATGGGAATGTTTCACAATATGAATTAAATTGTTTAATGGCTTACTTTGGTTAATTTTGTTCCACAACTTGATAGCAATGTGTTGCTTGCTTTCAATGTTATATAGTATTATATCTTTTTACTTTATGTTCCCCAAATACATAGCTGTAATGATTATGACTTAACTTAGTATGATAGAATATTGAAATGTTTCTTGTAATGTTTCTAAGACAGACGTATAGATGTTTTTTAAATTATATCCAAATGAATTATAATTTTGTTTTGTTTTTTCTCACCTTTTCAGTAGTTAAAGAGGTTTTGGAAATGAGACAACGAGATTAACTTTTTCCGTTTCACATGCGAACATAAATAAATTATAATTGTAAATCATAAAAACACAATTTATATAGAACAGATATTTTTCGATTGAAGTTTTAAAAGAATGATTTTATCCTCAGCTCCACTTAACATTTTGAGTTTACAGTGGTTTACTGAACTATATTCTATAGCTATACACTTAACTGACGAACGTGATACACGTTCTTCAAAATGGAGAAGATTCAATATTTTTACAGCATCAAGGAGAAGCTAATTTATAAACGGTGTAGAAGCTTTAAAAGCTGTAAGATAATTTCTAAGTAACATAATTTTTAATCCTAGAAACAACTTTCATTACACACCTAAATTTTTCTTATTAATTTATTTGCTTAAAGAATAAGATACTTGTTTATACAATGTTATTCTTCATCAATCTTTCGCGAAATGTGCAGGGTTTCTTTACGTTGATACAATTAACACGACAAAATAAACATAGAAAAATAATAGCTCAAGCTATGTCATTTGCGTAAAACTGTAAAAGATGTAACATGGACAATTACAGCAAAAATATTTTGGACTGTCCTGCTTCATTAATGTCTAAAGACCCAAGTGAACAAACACCCAAATAACTTTTAACATATATGCAGTAAAAGGATGAGACCCAGGTTCTTTTTCCCACTACGTTCAGAGTTCTATTACAATTCACTATCCTCGCCAAATGCGGGCTTTGTAATAACCATCGTTAGAACCAAATAGCTGTACAGGTAGAAGTAGATTAGACCGAATGAGCACAATATAAAATCACTTTATAAAAACATCTGTAAAGTCGTCAAATCATAACTTTACGACACAATGTCACATGAGCATGGATACTAGTATATTATATATATATTCACACATACACACAATTTTTAGTATCTTTATTGTGCTACGATATTCCTAGAATTATGTTTTTTATCTCATCTTTTGCTTCACACTCTTATGCTCCTATTTCCTTGAGCGAGGGGGGGGGACCTTTTTCATAGAAATCCGGAGCTCCAGTGGTGTGAATTCTGTGTTTGTTATCTGTGGTTTGTTTTTCAGAGTTTCAGTTCTAGTTTTCTGTCTTTCATTATTTTCGTGAAAATTCTGAAACAAACAAACTGAAATGTCATATATATATATATAGGGGTTAATTACGTTACGTTGAAACGATTTTGAACGTACAGAACAGCAAATCACCTGACAACCACATCCGATATTAAGTCTCGGTGGGACAGAATGTATCAAAATTACATTTTGACATTATTTCACATTTCGTAGTTAAGATGATGATGTCATTGAACACTGATCAGGTTGGGAAAGGAGTATCCCTTTTACTTAATGACATTGAAAAACAAAGGAATACGGATCAACTTGGGTCATCAGGACCATCCAGAAGAATATTTGCAACAAGTCGTATTCCATCAAAGTGTGGTGTCTTGCAACAGTTGAGAACCTACAAACACCAAGGCCAGTGGTGAAAGCCGTCCACGTACATCAAGCAACAGTGCGCTGGGAAACCGTTGTCCTCATATTCTAGGTAGATTACAGAAAGCATTCAGGAAACAGTGGTGTGCTTTTGACATGATAGCCTTTACGTTGGATCATTTTTCAGTGAAAACAACACTGCAAGGCTATTGTCAAGATGCATGATTATCAAGTGGAGTAAAACTGCATGTGGCGACATGGACTGTAACGACGTAATGAGTCTCCACAATCGTTCTCATATAAAGTGTCCAACCTTCTGTAGACGTGTAAGACAAATACATTTGACAATGCTATGAGTTAAATACTGTCTTCATGGTGATTTGATTTATATTTTGAGCAAATGTACATAATTTTTAGAACCCAGAGTTGTATTTTATTTAACATTATATATATATATATATATTCATAGTTTCAATCATCTACATGTCGACTCTGATAAGGCAACTAGATTTCAGTGAACTCTTTTTTTAGTTACAAACATTAAAACAGCACCAATACATATAATTTAACAATCGAAAGTGTTTTTCGAAAATATATCTTTAACTTGGAAAAACACCGTGCAATTTTTTTTCCATTTAATCAACTCATGTTATAAATTTCAGATGATACTCATGGAATATGTTAGCATTGAATTAATGCAAAACTTATTCAGTTTTGAAACTTCTCAGCCTTGATTATTCTTTCATGAAACAGAGTTTGGTTATTTGCAATTCTATGAGTTAAAATGATTATTCAAAATCTTATCTGAATTAACATCTAAAATTTCCAATACCCTTTTTTTTTGGAAATTCTAAATAGAGATTTGAACTTTTTGTGCGATATCTGAAATATGAATTGCCCACACCAACGTGGCTGAATTCGCACTAACTCCCAGCCATGAGGGGATAAATCCCACATTCCTAACCAAAATCTAATACAAAATGTCGTAGTGGCCGTATATGTTAGGCAACACAAGATATGGTTCCTCAGCTCTATAAAGCCGTCTTCTCCGCGGTTTTTGTGAGTTCTGTCAATAGAGATGGTCAAGAAAGGTTCAAAAAGCTTACGTGAAGTTGTAAAGTTGCTAGTTGCTGTACCTGCACGAACATGAACAGTTTTACTATTTTATGCAAGGAGAACACAGTTCGACCAATTCCTAATTTTCGCATATTCTTGGTGGACCAGCATTGAGAGGTGAATTCTTTAGGCAGTGAAGTGTTGTTGTTTTTAAAGTTAATATAGCAAATCCTTTATCGGAGTACATATTTAGTGTTTTATTTAAATATTAGAAACCGTAAAACCCCTCTGTAGCCCACCTAATCCTCAATCTCATTGACCCGCAGACTGGGCGTTAAAGAGCTACTCATATAAAACTATTAAAATTATAGCTTATGATAAAATCTCACCTTAGAACAGTCTAGCTGATTGAGGATCGGCATATCCAGAAGATAGAACTAAAGTGTGATAATAACCAAGTCTAACATTTGACGGATAACAGTTTGTCCAATGATTATCATGATAACTGAGTAACTAATATATAGTCTAAATCCTATAGTCTGATAACCATTCCAAATTAATCTTGAATATTATTTGTAAAACAATAAATCATTTTACAGCAAAAGATAGTGAAGTGGTGGAATGCAAAAATATGTCTCCTAAGCTAATGACATAAAAGGGACAATGAAGTTAAACAAAGGTCAGTAGATTCTTCAAGTAGAACACTGATGTATAGTGTGTATATTAATTAACATACACGTAGATATATTTAGATAGATTGATTTGATTTGATTAGAATTTTGCACAAAGCTAGACGAGGACCATCTGCGCTAGCCGTCCCCAATTTAAAAGTAATAGACTAAAGGGAATGCAGCTAATTAACAACATTCGCCAACTCTTGGGCTAATCTTGTACCAACAAATAGCGGAATTGACCGTCACATTATAACGCACCCAAGACAGTTCGGTGACGGGAATTCGAACCCTCGACCCGCAGATTGCGCATCGAGTGCCCAAACCGGGTCCATTTAGATAGATATGGGTATAACTCAAAACAATTCAAGAAAGGAATATAAATGCAAAACCCCAGCGCAATGTTTTACTTACATACTAGAAATCGTAAAACCCCTCTGTAGCCCATCTAATCCTCAATCTCATTGACCCGCAGACTGGGCGTTAAAGAGCTACTTATATAAAACTATTAAAATTATAGCCTATAGCTTAAACGTTATGATAAAATCTTACCTTAGAACAATCCAGCTGATTGAGGATCGGCATATCTAGAAGATAGAACTGGGAATAGTAATTTTGTCCGTATTTCGGTATCGTAGTGTGTGACTGTATTATATATAAACGATTTTGAAATTCATCACTTCAGACAAAGTAAATAAAAGCTTTCAAAAATAGACGCTTCACGGTTGTCTTTATTTCTATACACATCAAACTTGAGTCGAGTAACCAAAAAAGTACTAGTGGGTTGTATTTTTTTTACTTTTAAACGTATTCCAGTAAAAGCTTTTTCTCACTCTCATGAGCTTTCTTAATCATCCTTTATATAGATTTTTTTGTACTTTTCTGCTGTGTTGAGTTTTGTTACAGGTTACTTAATATAGATAGGTATATATAT